CAGCCACATCCCTGCCCGGCTGTCCACGCTGCCACAGAGACCTCATCTCACTCTGATACTACTGCTCTCATTCACCCAGGCTGCAGTGTTTCACATCCAGCACATTCACATTTAGCTGTGCCATAACTGCCATTAAAAAGGAAAACCTAGAGGGGACAAACCTAAGTTGTCAACACAATAAATTGATAGCACAAGCTGGAGCCTATCCAGCTTTGCCTGAAGTGGGCTTACACTGCACAAATTAGCATCCACAGTTTAAATTCCCTGCATACCCTGATTACACGATGATGTCAGACAAACTTTAAGCTTTGTATAACAGAATCCTGAATCTAATTTTAAAGTTTTACCTGGTACTCTATTGCATTGCAGAACAATACGTAGTATTTGCAAATAGTACTACCATCAGCCTTAGTGTAAATGTTCCTGGAAGAATCTGAATTGGTCTTATACGGCAGATGAAGAGCAGATAATAACTCAGACAGTATTCACCGCTTGTGTGTGTGTATTGCTTGGTTATTTATTTAGTATAATCACTTGCTCTTAGTCTTATTATTGAACCAACAGCAAATCTCGTAAAAGGACAAAAACAAACACTGACAGGTGCGAACAGAGCAGGTTTCTTCTTCACTTATCTACGTGACAACAAAGAAAACATGACACAGGCGTCATCAGAAGTTATACGGAGGTGATGAGGAGGACATTTTATTACAGCTCTGCTTTTCCTGATATCCAACTGTTTATGGGTCCCCGGGACATTGACTTCACTGACTTTTACTACTTTAACAGTTTATTTCTGTTGTTCCAGGATACTAATTTCACAGCAACCGGTGATACTGTGTGTGGAACGTTTAGGGAAATGAAAGGCTTAGTTAGAATTTTTGTGTAACAGTTGCCATGACCTATATATTGATTTGCATCTGGCCTAACTGATACCACTTGTTAGCCATCGCTGCCTTGTCGGACGCATTTCAACGTATCTGCCTCATTCCTAAAAAAACCCCCCAGTGTTTAATTTTTTTTTTTTCAAAAAAGAAAAAAAAGAAAGGCATCAATTCTTCCCAACTGTTTTTCTCCCCTGATTTCCCTGAAAACTGTAAATGAACAAAGAGAGAGGAAAGTTGGGGAGCTGCTTTGACTATCAAATGACTTTGACAGTGTCGGGTTTGTGCGCAGCCAGGCCGTGCTCAGACCATATCTCTCCCTATGATTGCAGCGTCTTCGCCGATTTGCATTACTGTGTTCCATTCTAAGCTTTGCTGGACCACAAAGAAATTGTGTCTTTGCATTTTATATTTGCTTTGTTCAAATGTCTGTCAAACTCTTTTCCATGTGGGCTTGGTCTTATCAGGGGCTGTATGCACATTTCATCAACAGACAAAAAAAGTGTCCATCCTGCATGCACACCGCAGGAAGCGGAGTTTATTTTATATTGCATTAGTATATGCGTTTCTTTTAATTATAAGATCTGGAAAAAGACAATATAACACACAAAATATGATGTGCAATGGATCTGATGATTCCTATCGACTACGTGTAGTTGTTTCATACCGGCCTTGGTTTTGGTCCTGATATGCTTTTTATGTACGGCGCTTCCTCTGTGGAAATCATCAGAGATACAAACACGTTATCATTACTACACAAGCAGCACACACAGCCATAAAGGAAGAGCAGAGGAACTAAGATTTAAAGCGCCTTCACCTTTCGCACACGCTCCAGATGCCACAAATATTTATTACATTATTTATATCTGTAGATGACACGCTTAAATGGGATTTTAAACTCATGCCTGTACATATGTAACATCTAAGCCCCACACAAGCTCGTTCTCTCTGGACCAAAGAGGTGTGTCTTTTAAAAAAATGTTTGTCCCCCAACCCCTCCCACGGACTGTCTCGTAGCCCTAAACTTTGCTGGTAGTTAGAGAACTTTTTTAGTTGTAGCCATCAGCCTACAGTGAGGTCCAGCTGTGCACCACCTCCCACCTGGCTGCATACATTTTTCGGCTCTATAAGCTCACTGCACCCATCAGTCGTCGGTGGCGTCCACTCAGGTAGGTGACCGGTCGGCACTTTGCCTTCTGTTCTCATATTTTCACCCCAAACACCTGGTGTTAACCAGCTTGATTCGTTAAATACAGCTGGCTAGTTTTGTTGGTTAAGAATAATTGTGCATGTGAAACTTTCACTGGCGAGAATTACGATCATCTGAGGCAATTTATTGCTTGGCAGACTGTGAATTGTGGAGATACGAGAGGCGAGAACTTTGCATGAGGGCAACAGAGAATCTGTTTCCTTCTCTGTGAAAGTGACATTTTTTGTTTTCCGTTCATTATTTTCAATTGAATTTTCAATAATTACCACGAGTATATGTAACGGTAGAGATGAATTATAATATTAATTTAATTCGCCCACTGCACGAGCTCAGCTTGAAGTCGTTTATATCCAGATCAAAAACAAGTCGACTGCTTTACACAGTAGATATATGTTCAGTGTGTTTTAATGCAAGTAGCATAATGTCAATCTATTAACATTGGAGTTTAGGGGCATAACACTCAAGGTAATTAAGTGTGTTGTGATATGAGCAGCTGGGTGTGATTTTCAAATTATTTCATCTATCCCTCTGGGGTTGTTTCTTTTTTAGTTTTGTCTCTTTTGATCAGTCCTCCACAACGTGCCGCCTCACCCTGCTGTGTCGCTGCGCTTGTTGCGTTTCTCATCAAACAGATTTCTATTAATCAGATGAGATTAGTTTCATGTAGTATCAGTGGGGCTGGATATATTTAGCATTATAATATTGCATTATAATAATGCTGTCTATCAGATTTTCTCAGAGTTTATCAGCCAGTATCAGTCTCTTCTCTTTCCTCTTCTCTTCCCTCTAAAGATACGGCGCGGGGAGAGGCCTCGTCCGCTGTTGTTATAATGCACGTTATGATGCCGTGGGATGTCGTCGCTGGTATTTTGGAGAAGAATTTGTCATTGATTCGACTTTTAAAGCAGTTTTCAGAAAGGGGCCTTCATCTCGAGCTCTAAAAATCTGCTCGAAATTTGCGTTTTTCTTTGATAAAAATTGAATCGCTCCCAAAAAATCAAAAACAAAAAGGGTTATTAATCACACAAATAAGTGAGAGTGTGACAGAGACTGCTGTTAACACTCTGACTTGAAAAGAAAAAAAATCTGCCAGCAAACACCAGTACACTTTGTGTGTGCTGCTGTGTTGTTTGTCCACACGGCCAGTCATCCCTAAGGGCATGTCTTTTGCATTCATCTAACTGGCACACCTATTGTAGTAGGGCCACTTGGTTAACCGTTTGGTCACTGGCTGTGTCGCTACATTTATAGACTCGTTTATTTTTAGTTTTTACTTTCAGCCGCAGTCAAATGAGGATCCTAGAAAAGGAAGTTTGAAAAAGCATGCTGTCGAGAGATCTTGTCCCTGATAACTTCAAGTTGCACTGGTTGTTGTGAAGAGAGAAGCTCGGTGATAATGCATTGGCTTCAATCAAAGTCGCGGCCTCTCTCGTTCTCATCTGAATTAAGAGAGCCGCAAACCTCCAGCGTGCGAGGAGTTTGGTGGCGTCTCTGTCAAGACATTTTGACAACATGTCTCCATAAAGACTGAGAGCCACACACCTAAAAACAAAAGCCAATCGATGCTCGTGTCTTTATATTTATTTCAAACTGTGCTAACTGTAAAGACAAATGCATTAGTGTAAGGGTGTAGAGTGCAAAGAGTACACGAATGAATAATAAATGACTCGTGTAAAATGAGGCTTGTGCACAGCTTTGATCTTTTCATCCTGGGTTGGTGCATTTGACAGCAAAAACAATTTAGATTTCTCACTATACTCGCCACAGGCTGTTTTACCTGCCAACATGGAAGATTCATCAGAGCAGTCCCACTGGGTGTCTCCATCCCTGCTCAGCTCAGACCCCCTGGCCGCTTTCTCCTCTGATTCTGGCCTGTTGCCTCCGGGAGAAGAGGGTGAGACGTTCTTCACCGGCCAGGACACTGACTACACCAGCCTGCCCTCTTTCTTCTCCACCCCAAGCCTCAGCCGAGCGCCAGCTCCTTACCGACACGGCTCTGGTCAGTGCTTCAAAGCCACCGTCACCCAACAAATCCATCCTCTAGTTCGCCTTCTAAATTGTGATCTGACTCTTATTTCTTCTTTCCCTCTTTCCACAGTTCGACCAATGTTCAACTCACCGAGCCTGCTCAGCAACCTTCAGCTGCTGGATGGGCTGCCCAGCCACTCTCTGAGCTCGCCCTACAACCCCCCAGTCTCCACCTGGAGCAGCAGCCCTCTCACTAAGACGCCATTGCATTCGCACACCCCGACCTCCCTCTACACCCCTGGAGTGACCTCCTCTTTCACCACTCCCAGAGATGGATACTCGTCTCCGGGCAGAGAGGGCAGGGAGAGTCCCCGTCTTCAGGAGGCCCTCAAGGCAGAGCGCCTGAGCCCGCTTGGGGGGTCTGGGGCCAGCAGCAGCTTTCTCAACCTGACTCCTGCAGCTGGCAGCGTGTACACTCCATCATCCCACCCACACATGCTAAGCCCCTACAGCTCATACATGAGTGGCCCACAGGACTACAGCTCCGCCTCCCTCTACTCCAGCCCCGGAGCCTGGATCAACCCCTCGTACTCCCCTAAACTCCGTAACAAGATGAGGATATCCACTCCAGGTGAGGACATATTGACAGGTGCCTCTTTTTCTTTTCCCTGGGTGGACCATTTTGGCACAATATTCTATAAAATGAAAATGCTCTGAAAGTTCAGCCTTGACAGTTGGTGGCTGTTTTGGAAATTATCAGATTTTTCTCAGCAGATGCAGATTTCATGGAACTGTAGATGGTTACATTTACAAGAAATTTGAATAAACTTTCAACCCTTGTAGCTCTCCCAAAATAGAAATTCGAACATCTGTACTTCAACAACAACTGAGCATCTGCAAGTTCCAAAAACAAGAGAGAGAGAGAGTGTTGTGAAACTAAAACATTTTGTTCTATATTGAGTATAACAGTCTGCCCATTATATAATGTGTCACTGAGATCTTTGCACATGAAATAATATATTAAGAAACATTCATCGGTCATGTGTTACACTCTGTGAGCTGTCATTATTTCTCTGAACAGAGGCCAGAGAGTGTGTCAACTGTGGAGCCACAGCTACCCCTCTGTGGCGCCGGGATGGTACAGGCCACTACCTGTGCAACGCCTGTGGACTGTACCACAAGATGAACGGCCAAAATAGACCTCTAATCCGACCCAAGAAGAGACTGGTATGACAGGCTGATACGGGCCTCTTTTGCCTCCTTTGTAAACCATCGAACAAATAATCCGTCGTTACCAGGGTCGTTTGAAAAGCTTGACTATATCCTTTTCTGTGTCTCAGATTGTCAGCAAGCGCGCAGGTACCCTCTGTGCCAACTGTCACACAAGCACAACAACGCTGTGGAGACGCAACGCCAACGGGGAGCCTGTGTGTAATGCCTGCGGACTCTACTTTAAACTGCATAACGTGAGTCAGTCATTTCAGATAAATCCACAAACACCTGGCTAAATATTGAAAAAAATTAATTAATTTTAAAAAAAATTCTCTTTCATTCCTCACTACAGGTTAACCGGCCTCTCACCATGAAGAAGGATGGAATTCAAACACGTAACAGAAAAGTCTCCAGCAAGAACAAGAAGAGCAAGAAGGCCGCCTTGTTGGAGCCGTACATGGAGGTGACTCAGCCGCCCTCCCTGGACGACAACGGTGGGCCCTTCTCCCTCGGCCCCGGGACTCTCCTCACTTACAGTCACTCGCCTCACCTCATGCCTACACCGTCCCCGCTCCATCCCTCTGCCAGCTTACCCTACACACACCACCTCAACTCTGGCATGGTGCCCACACTAGTGTGACATAACAGGACGGGCACCTGTGAATACTCAGACACGAGCCCGCTTCTTTGTATTGCCAGTTATTTGTACATATGTGTTGTTGGCTGTCATGCGAATGGAGTTTCCTGTGTATTTTACCTGCGTTTCATCCACATGTTGTGTTACTGTGCTGACTGGGCACTTGTGTGAAGTCCGATAAAATCACTCAGGTTTTGGCATATGTAAACACCCTAATAAGGGAATTCTCCCAGCTGTAAATACAAACACAAATCTGATTTACGGTATCTGTGTGACAATTTTTCTTTTATTATTCTTAAAGTAAAGCTATACCTTAGTTTTGTGCTTCAGGGGTCTGTTTTGTATTTGCATAATTCATATTACCATATTAAAACTCTAAAGAAAAAAAAATGCGTGACTTATTCTGTTTGACTTATGAAGGCTTTTGTTTTAAGTAATTTGAATCCTCAGCTCTCTGAGCTAACCACAGCAAGGCCTGCTGTGGGAGGTTATTGTACTCCCCTGCCCTGGTATAATGGTGTCTTTGTGCTGGCAGTTCTCCACTTTGACAGTGTAATAGTACATAGCGGGTATGCAAATCGTCTTTTCCGCATAAGTGACAAACATTCAACTAAAGTGCACCACTTATGACTGCTTTTATATTTAGACGAGCTACAGAACAACTGGACGCACGAGGTCACGTTTGTACTTTTCATTACTCATCTCTGTTTGAATGTGCAGAAGGGGATTTTTGTTTCAATTTTACAGTTTTCCACTTTCATGTCAAAGGTCTCAAACTACAGAGAACGTGTTTAGAAATCAGAAGACAACAATACGTTTCATGACGTCGCTGCCGTTTGCGTGTTTTATTTTCGCCCATGTAGGCCAAAGAAAGCCGAGCACATGTAGATTGTGAGGTGAATTCTGCCTTTGTTGAGGTAGTTTAATGAATTCGCAGATGCACATTTTTCTCACCAACATTGAAACTCTTACTTCAGTAAATGGATCAGGCTATTACCAGTCAAGTTTACTTTAACAAAGTAAAGGCGAGATCACGGCTAGATTGACAAAATTGTAAAATATATTACAAAGGAATTAAAAGTGACTTGTGAACATTTAAGAAACAAGGGCTAGTTTGACTTTTACTTTTTCACTTTAAACTCTAACAGTGCGTGACATATTAAGGTGCCATTACGTTTTATTTTGAAAAACCCTAGAGGGACAGCATTCAAAGACGTGCTGTGTAAGAACATCTGTGATTGTGTTCACCAGCTGAATGCATTGTTATCTGAACAAACACAAAGCACTTAACACTCTATGTGCACTGACTCCTCAGCCTCGTTTTTGGCTTACCTCTCTGTAGTTTCTGACCTTTGTGCTACAGCAAGTGAAGAAGCAGGAAATAAAAAAAAAAGAAATCCAGATAAACTAAAATGTAAATGCCTAAAATTATTTATAAGTACAAGGGTACATGCATTTACTTAAAACAGGCTTAAAGAATGATTTTTTTTATGTTGATATAATATTAATATTTTAATATTCAGACATTTGGAGCTGATTTGATTGTTTTTCTAGAGGAATATGGCTTAAAAAAAACAAACAGGGCAGGCTGTTTGATAATGGACACATTGCCCAGCAGTATTGCCCTATTAGGGTTAAATTAGTACACACAGGCAAAGCTCTCTGGCACAATTTTACGACAAAACGCAAGATGCATATTGTTCTGTGCAAAGAAACACCTTGAATTCAGGGTCTTAACAGACTCTTGCCTTAACAGCTTATGTAAGAAACGCCTAATACTAGTGTATACATGTCTGTGTACTTTTTTAGGCCGAGCAGCAGGGCTGGGGTTGCTCGCTCAGTACTGGGGGTGGCTGATAAGTTATCACTGAGGCCACAGACCCCAAACCATCCACCTGCTGCTGGCACAGCCACTCTAACACTCCCTGTCAGTTAGTCATTGAGGGCCACAGTGTCTCTTTAGGTGTCAAAGACAAACACACATATCACTGGAATCATCTGAAGGACCGGTAACTGGGTGTTGTAGGTGAATAGGCTTTGGGGTGTAGAAGAACAGTTTGGTTACAAAACCAGTGTGTCATGTTTGGGCCAAGTGAATCCTGTCATGTTTCATAATCTGCGAGTACGCTCACAGAAGGCTTCCCTCGAGACAAATCTATAAATTATCACCCACGTCGCCCACTGATTCGTGCACGCTTCACTGCCGACCTCGAGGAGAAATAAGATTTTCTTTTATGCATTCGGTTTCATCTCAGCGAGTACGGCCCTGTGAACATCTGGGCAAGTCACCTACTCATAACGCTGCATGACACGCACCACTGGGTGTATTGGTGATAAACCAAGTCTTTGACAGAATTTATCAATAGAAGCGTTTTTTGCTTGTTTTTTGTTCAACTCGCTTAACAAATCCACAGTAGAAAAAATAATATGAAAAATGTTTCCTCCTAGTGCAGCTTCATTCATTAGCAGCCAACCGTTACAATACATAACCCAACTGATTCCCCAAAGACCTTGATTATGGGAATACTTTGTGATAGTGCCCTGTGAAATTACGGAGCGAGATAAGGGTGGCTTTCTATTTGAATCCGTTTACAGCATCTACTCAAAGTTGACTCTAAACCACACTAAAGTGGAGACCAATCCGCAGTGCTCACCTCTGCAGGAGTTATCGTGAGCAAAACAAACACGAGACAAGTGTGGGGGGGGGAGGGGGAGACATGATCTTTTTCTTTTTAAAGGAATAAGATGATTTGGCAAGCACATCCATAATTTATACTCTTTTCCTCAACTGTCTGTATCTGCTGTTTATCTGCTGCAGCTGTCAGCTCTGCTCTGGGGAAATGGCAACAAATGACGGGGATAGATTAGCAACCACAGGCCTTCTCCAGTTCACTCACAAGGCCATCCGTTAGAGCCTTCTCTCTCCCGCTGCCTCACTGCTTGTCTCCTTTCCCATTCGTACTATCATTATATCATCCAGAGCTCGCAGAATAATCTTGTGAAAAGCTGTTCTAGCGTGGCAAGTGGGTGATTTAACTACTTGTTGTGGTGTGTGATCAGACAGATTAAACCCATTACTGGGAGAATTCACGTGTTCTCTGTGTCTAATTTGACTTTCTTGTGGGAAAAATACAAAAGGAGAAAACTGTGATGGAACAGCTTGCAAACACTAAAGCTGTCATGTCTGAAATTACTTGTAACTGAAAGCAGAGTAGCACAGCTTAGTTTTAAGCATGCTCCTTTTGGAATATGTGGTACATTAGCACCCCCATGTGGAGAAAGTGCAACACTGCTGTTAAGCGAGGCTGTGCATGATGTAAAACTGTACACATCTTTACACTTCAAACTAGGACACAAAGACCTCCTCCCCCTGGGCCATTCAGACTGTAAAGCAATTCCACCCAACACCCCACCCACCCATCCATGCCACTGAGTAACCCTCATCACTCAGGCCTCTCACACATGGATTCTTTACTCAGACCTAGTCCGTTGCACTACTTCCAAGCACTTTGCAACCCGTCCTCTAATGTGTCTTTTTAATGTGTGCCTTCCTCCTGTTTTGTATATACTCCTCTTGTCTGTTATTTATTCTTGTTGCCCTACTATTTTTATTTTTATTTCATGCACAGTTGGTGTGGAGCACCCACTGACTCAATAACTGCCCAGAAGCATTAGCAGAATATCTCCCTTGCATGTAGATCAGACCTTGGTATATAGCTTTGTGTACATGTTGATATGGTGACAAAGACATGTGGATTTTATATTTTCAAGTAGATTTTAATGCACATTGTGTAAAAGAATACATCTCATTTAATTCCAGCTTTTAAGATACTTCATATGGAGTCACTTCATTTGATTTGTGGCAGAACAATAGCAGCATAAGTGA